GCTGGGCAAATGGCTTCCAGAACAAAACCCTCTTGCTACCCTTTGACCAAAGACTCAATCTTCAGCAAATTCCCCATGGAAAAGTAGCAGGGGAAAATGAATAGGCTCAGCCTTGCAATTAAAGATAAACTCTCATCAGAAACAGCAGGCAGAGCCTTCCTACCCTCCAGCAGATCAACACTCCCACCAAACTTGGTGCCATCTGTGAACTTACTGAAGGTGCACATCTAAAAACCTAAAGGCGAAGGCAGACCTTTGGCTTGTACAGTTCAAAGCATCACAAGGAAATAGCACTTTTCATGCACAGTGTCTAAAGAGCAAAGCTGTACTTTTCACAACACGCATAGGGAAGGGAAAAGTGTGCCCTGAACTTTAATCTCTTAAAGATAAATCAGATCCTACCTCGTCTTTTTTCACAAAGCAGTTAAAAAGCTTATACTTTAACTCTGATTTGCAATCCAGCCCAAAAGGGAAAAATTCAAAGAGCAGATGATAGTTGAGAAATTGTAGCGTGCAATACCAAGGGAAGACAGGCAGCAATGTTCATCATGTACCTCTGAATCTGCCACGATTTCATTAATTTTTTCCTGTGTTATGTAAAATAGTGACCATTTCTATTTTCCTTCTGCATGCCACTCTTTACTTTACAAGAGTAGACCTTCATGTCATACTTACCATGGAGATGTACGATGGATTTATGCCACAATATAAAAATGTTTTCATTTCATACTATTATTTTCCTAGCAATTCCATTCCTCCTAATGCTTGCTATTTTGACCTCCACTAAGCACTGCACTAATGTTTTCACAGAACCTTCTTATTACACATCCACAATCTGAGCAGTCCAAATCTTGCCATTTTGGATGAAAAAAAGCCAAGACTGCCATTTCTTCAAGGCAAATCAGTTTACATTACTAACATATAATTTACTGCTTCATCACCCAGCTACTGACTATCATCAGACGCTCTCCAGATCCAAAGTAAAAAGTTTACTTGCAATGTTACTAGTTTAAGTAATTCCCTGTCATCAGCAAACTTGCTCACATCATTTTGTGCCCCTCTTTGGAAACATCTATGATAACACTGAAGCACAGAGACCTGGTATAAATTCTTGGGAAACATCACTGCTGACTTACTGTCCACCCCACATTAGTCCAAAGTTTATAAAACATCACAGTAAATAAAGTCCCCAAACCCCTCAACATCACAAGAATAAACCCCTCAAGTTGACTGCTCCTTTTTGCCCTACAATAACTGAGTGATAATGGCATGCATAAAATTATGACAAGACAGAAGCAGATATAATTTTAAAAGACAGGCATTTCTTAAAATTACTACCACAACCTCATAAATATCTGGTAGATACTTAGCCTTTGCCAAAAATTCAGATGCTACTTATCTGCTTTGTGGCAACAATGGCATTATAGAAACTGCAGATAAGTTGAAAAAAAATACAATAAAATGTAAAGAAATATTGATTTGCATGAGAAATCAAATAAACCTGCATCAGGAATCCAGTGGTATCTTTTCCTTTAATGAGACATTTGTATTATTTCTTGCTGCGTGTGCGATTTGTGTCATACATATGCCCTATATGTCCATTACTACAAGACTTTTTGTTCTACTTTTAAAAAATATTTCCATTACTGGAAATGAGAAACCAAAAAAGTGCTGTAAGTGATACACTTCCTGCTGCAACCACAGTACCCTACTTTTTACTTCCTGTTTTTCTTGCTGTTCATTATCATCATCTCATTTTCAAGGCACCCTCTCTTCAGTTAACAGTATCAAAATTGCTTGTACCAACTTGTAAGTCTTACCTCCTTTTTACACAAGATATCATTCCTCTTCTGTCTTCTCTTTGGGACTTCTCCATGCTGCTTCAAGTCTGAAATTATCCTCATGTCCTGTACCAGTATTAATACTTTTCTACGCCTTTAGAACAGTTCTCCCTCAACTTGCTCTATTCTTTCCTTCTGAATATATTATGGGTCTTGTCCCAGTTCTAACTCAAAGTATTTTGGAGGGAAGATTGTGCCTATTTCTCTGAACACATCTCCTTTCATGTTGCTAAAGTAGATTTGGCAGGCCTGATTTGCCCTGGTGAAGCCATGTTGGCTGTTACCAACCACCTCATTTTCCATGTGCCTTAGCATGATTTAATAGTTACCATCATCAGAGGGGTTGTTGACACAGCCCCAGAAAGCTGGGGATGCACCCTACCCAGAGATTCTCCACCCTTCAGCTGAAGAAGTTAAAGGAGCCTGACACCAAATAGCCACATAGTTTTAGAGAGAGAAAAATAAGTAGCACAACTTACTAGGCAACAGTACTTATCAGCTTGTGACTGGGAGAGGGTGAAAAAAACCTTAAAACAGTCAAAGCTGTGATTGAAATCTTCTCCACTCAAGCAGCAGGCCTGAGAACAGCATGGGGCCTGTGAGAAGAAAAAAAAAAAACAAACTATTATCTTTCAGCAGCTGGTTATTTTTTCTAAAACTACAAAATCACAGAATAATACAAGGGGTTGGGGTTTTTGGAGGGAACCTTAAAGAGCATCTAGTCCAACCTCTCTGCAGTGAGCAGGGACATCTTCAACTAGTTGAGGTTGCTCAGAGCCCATCCAACCTGACCTCTGCATCTACACCTACAATCTCTCTGGGCAATCTGTTTCACCAGTGTTTACCCACCCTCATTGTAAAAAACCTCCTCCTTCTTTCAAATCTTAATCGACCCTTCTTCAGTTTAAAGCCATTCCTCCCTGTCCTATCACTATTACCCTACTACCTGCCCTTGCAAAAAAGTCTCTCTCCAGCTTTCCTGTAGGCCCCCTTTAGGTACCAGAAGGTGCTGCAAGATCTCTGTGGAGCCTTCTCTTCTCCAGGCTGAACAACCCCAGCTCTTTCAGAGGGGACAGCTAGCTGGAGAACAGTTGCATCTGTGGGAAAACCAACTGACAGCCACCCTGATCCTCACTACACTCACCCTGCATAAGGACACGCTGCCATGGCCACGCAGGCACGGGCACCACACCAGCCTCAAAGCCTCCAGCACCACCAGCAGAAGGGCTTTTCTCCAGCCCCCTGGCACCACACCACCTGCCTGAACCACATCCCTCATCTGTATTTAGTATCTCCCAGCTCTTCTGCAAAGGCAGCATCCAAGGAAAACTCCGCTGAGCTGCAGGAATAGAGGTGAGCAGCTCCAACAGGTCACCTCCAGGGTCCCAAGCGTGATCCTCCCCGTGCCAGTGCCCTGCTGCTCCAGGTCCTGGGAAGCACATCCTACCCTACCATAACCCAGGTGGGATGGCTGGGAAGGTCAAGGCTGCCAGGGAACAGTGGGAAGAAGAGGCAGAGGCAGTGGAGGAGGAAAAAAAAATATCCCTCCTGTTGTGAGTGCCATTGCCCTTGCTTCCCAGGATTTGTTCTGCTGAGCACAAGGCACACTGCACAGGAGTCCCCTTCTCCTGTCCATGCCTCACCCACCTGGACACTGGGGGCGGGGGGGTATCACAGGCCTTGCTAAAGTCACAGTAAATGGCTGTCACTGCTCTCCCCTTGTCCCACGAGGACACTCCTCTCCTCCAAGCAAGGCTCTTGTTGGTCCTGCCACAGCTTGTCCTCAGGGCAGCTGAGCTGGGTGTTCAGTGATGTCACCTTGCCCTGCAGTGTGCCTCCAAGCCACCTTCTGGCAGGCAGCTGAGAAGGGCAGGTTCTCCCTGGAAACCTGCTGGAAGGTTCCCACACAGGACCTGCCTCTGACTCTTCCAACAAAGCAGAGAGAGTGGTTTCTTGGAACAGCTTTGTTACCACAGATGTCATCATAGACAGTTTACAGCCCCATTTTATTTTACCTGCATAACCCAGAAGCTACAATTTCAACCACCACTTTGGACTTGTTATAATTAAGCCTTGACCTTCTGGCAGTTTTGAGGAAAATCCCACAATAATTTATTTTTTTTCCTCTGATTTGTATAAAGTATTGCAACAGTTTCTTTAAAAAAAATAACTTGTGGACGCTTATCTCATAAATCAGAGTAACAGAAATACAACGCAGTGGTAAAAGTTCTTCAATAATTTGTACATATCAATACATCTCTTTAAAGGGGAGTACAGGCTCACGGTATTGAGACACTACCATTGCTTATTGCAGAAATCAGTATTTCATAGGAACTGCAGTCCATTTGATATCGCAGCTAGCATTTACCTAAAAATAACTTTCCTGAGTATTTTCTGAGCACTTCTAGTGCAGAATAAACACCTAGAACGTACAGAAAGTAGTTGTCAAAAAAGTCCCACACAGGTACCACACTCTGAAAACAGCTGGGAATGGAAAAACACGAATCAAACCTCAAGCTTACACAAATGTGCAAGCTGAAAATAATTGCCTAAATTGTTTGATCTGCACGGAGGCCAAGACTATTCTCCCCTAAGAGCAATGAAAAACCACTAAGAGGAAGGGGAAACTAGCTCTGAAGGCTCAAATGAGTGAAAAGAAACAGGGATAACAAAAAAGGGTGCACTTTCGAATTCCTACATGCCGGCTCGCGCCTGGACAAGGAACGGCAGCGATTTACTGCGACGGAGAGCTTCGCACAGCGTGCCACGGGGTACGAGGCGCGAATTGTCGCTCGAGGTGCGAGGACAACGCCAGGGTTACCTCAGAGGACCCGTCGGACACCCAGGACCTCCATCGACCCTCATCCCTCATATTCCCCATCCCATACCCCGCCCCCGATGACGTCAGAGGCGCGCGGCCCGGCCCCGCCCCCCGCGGCCCCGCCACGTCCCTGCTCGGCGGCGGCGCGCGCGTCACCGCGCGCCGGCGGGGCCGGCCGGGCCAATCGGGGAGCTCCGCGACGGCCGCGAGGGGTCAGCGCCGGCCAATGGCGGCGCTCCGGGGGGCGGGCGCTGTGCCCATGGCAACGGGCGCGGGGCCGCCGTGGGGCTGTCGCACCGAGCAGCGAGCACCGCGCACCGAGCACTGAGTTCCGAGCAGCCAGCACCGCACCGGCACCCGCGGCCGCTCGGCGGGACACCCGGGCACGCTTCGCCCCTCGGCCCCCGCCCTCAGCAGGCGCCTCAACGTTGAGAAGCAGCGGCTCCTCTCCCGCCGCAGCGGGACCCAAAGGTAGCGCCACCCGTCCCGGTGCCCCCGCCGGCGGCGGAGGCCCCGGCGGCGGGGCGGCTGCTGTCGGAGGCGCGGGGGGCTAAGGGGGGCGGGTTTGCGGGGGTCTCGCCGCCCTCCCGCCTGCCGGGTTCGAACCGGGGGGTCGCGGTGAAATCGCGGGGCTGCCTCCCGTGCGGGGCAGCGCAGCTGAAGTTTTCCCGGGCGGCTCCAGGTGTGTGCGTGTCCCTTTCATCCCTCCCTCCATCCTTCCCTCCATCCCTCCGGCCGCAGGTACCCGCGGATCCGGGCGGTGGGTGAGCTGCAGAGCGCTGTAGAGCGCCAGGGGAAGGGAAGGCAGAGCTGGCAGCGGCTGCAGCGGGAAAATGTTGTGTGGCTGGTAATTGCACAACCGCAGGGGAAACTTGGGCTCGACTAATTTCACTAGAAAGGGCAGAGCTTTTCAGCGTTACTGTCATAAAATCACACAGTGGTTTGGGTTGGGAGAGACTTCAAAGATCATCTCGTTCCAATCCCCTTGCCTTGGTCAGGGACACCTTCTGTTAGACCAGGTTGCTCAGAGCCACATCCAGCCTGGCCTTGAACACTGCCAGGGATGGGGCATCCATAGGTTCTCTGGACAGCCTGTTCCAGTGATTCATCAACCTCACAGTAAAGAATTTCTAAGTAACCTAAACCTGTTCGCTTTCGATTTGAAGCCATTCCCCCTCATCCTGTCACTACATGCCCTTGTAAATCCATCTCCCTTGTCTCTTTCCATCTTTCCTGCTGGCTCCCTTCAGGTAGTGAAAGGCTGCAATTAGGTCACCCCAAAGCCTTCTCTTTCCCAATTCTCTCAGCCTTTCCTCGTAGGAGAGGTGCTCCATCCCTTTAATCACCGTGGTTGCCTCTGCTGGACTTGCTCCAACAGATCGATGACCTTGTTGTGCTGGGGACCCCAGAGCTGAATGTCTTACTGTACTATTACTGTAATACCACTGGAGGAGCTCCATAAAATATTCCAGTGCTAGGCTGGCCACTGCACTCAGAAAATATTCCGAAAGAGGAAAAAAGTTGAGATATGGCTTTCGAGAGGTTACGTTTTATGGATGAAATGAACATGGCTAAGGTTTTCAAAAGAGTTTGTGTTTGGCAACACTTTTTAGGAAGCCTGTAGGAGAAAAAAGCCTCTGTTGTTTGAGTTGCAAGTATTTGCTGTGGACAGATAACATCTAGTAGTTTCAACACGGGGCCATCACCATATGAACAATGAAGTACCTGTGCACCCATGGGATCAACTTCAGTGTGGTTTGCTTTTGTGGAGTTTTCTTTGGTCATTTTGTTTTCTCCCACTCTCAAGAAAAGTCCTGTAGTTGACTCAGTACTGGTGCAACTGTACTCGGAATTCCGAAGTGACTGTCCCTCTCAACCAGACAGAGCAGCATGGGGAAGATTCCTATTGTGAACACTGGATAGGAGGGGAAGAGCCACTCAAAAACTATGAATCCAGGTTTTATTGTAACCTTTATGGACCTCTGCTTAAAACTCACAGAAAGTTTATGGGAGAAGCCTGCATTTCTGTGAGCACTTAGGATTCAGCTGTATCTCTAATTGTCATTTGCTACACAATGGTCTTGCACAGTCACAGTGCCACGTCCACCACGACTGTGGATTACTAACCTGATTATGTACCCTACCTCCTACCCGTGGTTACCTATTTTCTCTTTTACTCACTACTGTATTCTCTTGGATGTTAGCAGTATTTTATTTCAGGATAAGAAAGATAATTATATAAAAAAGAGTAGCATAAGTCTATCCGTAAACAAATTGTGTTGGTGTAGAACAATGTGAGTCTCATTCACTTCTAACCAAGATAGTTAATACAAAGAAAAAAACCCAGGGAAACCAAATTATAAATTAATATTGCCCATTGGGTCTGCTTAAAATTTTCATTAGTAGTTGGATAAAAAGGCAGCTCGCATAAATTTGTTTGATGCTGTAATACTGCTTGAGCTACAGTTATTTGGAATCTGAAACTGTATTCAGAAAATCCCATCAGACAAATAAAACTAAGCAACAGCAACAAAAAGAATTATTTTTTTCATAAGACTAAGCCAAAGTTTTCATACCTTGGTTGCATAGTGCTGCTGATGTAAACTTTCTGTTTATGTAAGCCAAGTTAAAGGCTTTCTGTCAAAAGCTGCACCCCCCAAATGATACATGTAGAAATGAAATGCTAGCCATGAAAGGGGAGAGCAGTAGTTCTCTCAGAAAATAAAACATGTAAATTACAGTGACTCAAATGTTAGAGGTGTGGAAATATTGATGCATAGTTCTAGTGCTGTGCTGACTAAACAAAAGCACTTTACATAAGAAAGATAAAATCCAAGATAAAGCCTCTATCAGAGCTGCCATGATTTGAACTCTTGCGCGCAGAGGTGTTTTATCTGCTGAGGTGTTGTGCTCTTGGCTGTTTGATTACTCAGTTAGCAGAAGAGATTTCTCTGAAGTTCCTGTTTGCTACGTAGTAGACACAAGCCTTTTGGATAGGGGTGTGCTTTTATGTGGCTAAAATCATGACCAGGTGCTAATGCCAAACCGAATGAAGTCGGAGGCAAAATTCACGTTCATTTCAACAGTTTTTGCTCTTATGTACTATACATGATTTGACGGTGGGAAGAATGAAAGAAACTGCATTTCATTAGAACTGTTTTAATCATATGAAGTTGTAAATATTACTCACCAAGGGTAATTCAAAAATATATATATACCCTTTTCATCATTGCATTTCCTCTGCCTTATATTATTTATAAAACAAGAGTGGGACATTTATGCGCATTTGGGTTCCTAAGCAAGTAAAAATCAATGGGAATTAGCAAATTGCAGACATAAATCTCATTTGGCAGCTATCATTAAGTGCCTAAATATTTTCAAATCTGGCTCCATATCATTAGATATAGATTTCTTCTGGATAGTTATTCTGTATTTTTGTTTTGAGAGAAGAAAAAAGTACCTTGAGCTCCTGGGGCATTCAAGATTTACTTTAGCATCATTTGTTGTTGACTAGAATAAAATGCAAATTGTTAGGATAATTGAAATACTTTTTGATTTGTGATAGAGTTTGAGCCAATAAATTGGTTGCATGTAGTAGCATATTTGAGGTTGCTTTTACGTCAGCACTGATGAAATTGCCGTTTGCATTTATGAAAAATGAATTTGTGAGATTTCAGGTGTTCCATTGTATTGTGGTTTGTGTGGGAACTGAAACTATAGTGCAGGAAGCCGTGTTTTTACCAGTAATTTATATTTTCTTATTTGCTTTTGAAGTTGGTAAGATTTTTATCAAGTATGTATTGAATTCACTACAAGTTTTTGCTTGACTGTTGGCTTCATAAATCTTTTTCTGAGCCAGCTTTGTTGGGAAGAATTGATAAAATCAAGGAAATTGCTTTGAGAAACAAGAACTAATATTTCATCATTATTCAGTTATTAAGGCAGCTTTGTAGACACTGATTTTTTTTTTTTTTGGTTTGTTTGAAGCAAGGATAGGGAAGTTCCTTAGAGGCAGATGCTATTATAAATATGTGTGTGTATTTGTGTGTGCACACAGGTTTTTAAATAATGAACAGTTAACACTGCAACAAGAAGAAAGATAGTTCTCAGACTTTACTTATGACAGAGCTAAGCAGGTGTAGCAGCAGACACACAGTTTGCTTCTATGCCCTGTTTGGGTTTGGACATACAGGTGTATTGTTTTGTGATATTATCTTACATTGTTATGTTGTTCAACATAAAATTGCTTCTTTTCCACTCTAGCAGTCATAGTTTCTGTTACTATATCGTATCCCCCAGCATTTGGGTGACTCATTTAATAAAACAGCTGAAGTGCATTTTTTAAAGGGAGGTTCTGTCAGCAAATGTGGTATTGGGCATGGTCAAGGCACGCTCTCTTTTCTGGGAAGCTGAAAAAAAAAAGCTGTATCATCAGCCAGCTTTTAGCTGTAAAGAGAATGGAGCAGCTAAAGTGCAGTGAAAAAATACAACAAATCCAACTCAAAACAATTTAAGCAAAGTAAACAGGATGAGAAAAAAGGATTTCGTTGCCTTTATGTACTTAAATAGTACTGTTTTATATGAAACTATTTACATGCAAGATCAAAATACTTCTTTGAAAAAGTAAGGAATGTCTCCTGGTGTAGAGAACTGAGGGGGATGTGCTCAAAGAAAAGATCAGGACAGCATGTCCAGTGTGAAACCTGTTGGATATTGGCTAGGAAAAAAAGAAGCAACACCTGAATCATGGTGTTAGTAGACAACTTTAACAGAAAATAATACTTGAAGGATAATAAAATACTCTATGTAATTATATAGCAATAATAGCTAGCTTGTAATAGTTAATAGCTTGCATATTAACTTATTAAAGGATGAGTTTTCATTTGGGAAGGGAAGTATGCAGGTGTTTCTGTATTTTGAATGTTAGCTTGTAAAGGGAAAACTACTGCAGCTTGTAGCCATTTCCCTTTTCATGTCATTTGCTGCTCATGTCTTCAGTGAGCAACCTGGATGTATGGATTGATGACCCAGTGAAGAGACACCTTCACCACAGCCAGTGGTTTAGCTTAACACTGTGAGCAGAAACAGGTTTTTCCACTTGCTTCTCAAAATTGTTGCCACGTTTCATCAGTGTTAATGCCAGATTAACTCATTGGACAAACTGTGAAGAAAGTGCATTAACTGTTGATTCATTGACTTTGTCCTTGCTTAAAGTATGATAGCTTACAGTGTTTGTGTGGCAACTTCTCCTCCTGAAAAAAACTGGGAGGAACTAACACTGGTGTTTCCAAACACAAAATATGGCAGAAGAATAATCTGTTTCTCATAATTTCAAACATTTAATGTAATTTTTTAAAAGATTTTATGAGTAAAATCAGTTTCTGTATTTGCAAATAATTTTTTAAAGGAAAAGCCCATGTATCTATAACCATTCCCTGTTTAAACTGTGAAATATGGGCAGGTATATCACT